AGAGAGAGAGAGAGAGAGAGAGAGAGAAGGCCATGTCCCGGGGCTGCTGTGGGCCACAGGTCGGCTTGTCGAGCGACTTGGAAAGCTGGAGGGCCTCAGCATCCTGGGATGGGACGCGCCACACTCCCGCGGTCAGGAGCACCAACCCACCATCCTGTGTGCCCTCAGGAGTGGTGGTACTCCACCTTGGAGAGCTTGGAGGACCAGTGGCTTCAAACGGTGCTGAGCCTCCCTTCCTGGGAGAAGATCCTGTCGGGCAAGGTAAACATCCACGATGTTCAAAAGAACAAATTCCTGATGAGAGTCAACATCCTGGACAACCCTTTCTGACACTCCGGGAGGAGGCGGGCGGTGGCAAGAACCGCCCCCGACTCCTCGCCCACCTTCCTCTGCAGCCCGCCTCCTGCACGCTACGCTCCCATGTTGGTTTCCTCTTTCCAGAGGGTCGAGAGGGGCTGCGGGGTCCTGCTCACTCTCCTAACTCCACCCACCCACGCACCTCCACCTCCCCTGAGCTTTGCAGCCTGTTTTCCAGCCCGGGCTGGTCGTATCCTATGGGAAAACGTCAGCACCAAGGCGGGTGGCATCCCGAGCTGTGACACACATGTTTCTAATTAATGTATTAAACTCAAAATGTTTATTTTAAAATGTCCAGTTGTTAAATCTTTTTAAGGTAACACAAAATTGTAAATGACAAACTTTCATCATGATCTCTAAGGACAAGATTGGAAAAGACACACTTTTGCGTCACCTGACTACAGCTTCCAAAGCCAGGCGGGTGTGCCAGCCCCTCTAGCCATGTGCATCAACAAGTGGGAAATCAGTTTTTAAAAATTGCAATAGTGGGGGCTGGGGATGTGGCTCAAGCGGTAGCGTGCTCGCCTGGCATGCGTGCGGCCCGGGTTTGATCCTCAGCACCACATACAAACAGAGATGTTGCGTCCGCCAAAAACTAAAAAATAAGTATTAAAATTCTCTCTCAAAAAAAAAAAAACTTTAAAAAATTGCAGTAGTAATAATTTTGATTATTAATAATCTGGAGCATTTTTATATGCTCAAAGTTGTGTGCGTGTGTCGTGTTGGGTGTTTAATTGAGAAACAGTAGCCTTCATCTTCATTTCCCAGATGCCGAGGCACGGCTGTGTGCTTGCCCTCGGGGCAGCACAGCTGAGTCCCCTGGAGGCCTGAGGTCAGCCACAGAGGCTGCAGGCCTGGCTGTGGGGAGGGAGGGCTGGGCAATCAGAGCTGGGGCTGGGAAGGGAGCCCTGCCACCAGCACACCCGATCCCACGGGCTCCTCACGCTTCCCCATCCCCAGGCCTGGCTGTGAGTGTCAGCAAGGCAGGGGGCGAAAAGCACCGAGGAGCGTGATGAGTAGACACACATCAGTGCAGACACACTCGCGCACCGAGCTGTGGTCCTGAAGCTGCACACTGTCCCCAACGCCAGTCGAAGCCTCTCCTTTGTCAGTGCCTCCGGCATCTCACAAGCTGTTCCTCCCCTGCTTTCTCTCATTTGCTCATCCAGTAAGCACCGAGCAGTGTCGGAGGTCGAGATACAAAGGCAACAGAGGCGATTCCTGACCTCTGCCTGCTCTGAGGGCCACAGGGAAGACCGACAGATGCCGCTCAGCCCGGCCCATGGTGTCCCAACGTTCTGTCTACTTGGACCACAGGGAAAATGGGGCACCGCAGACCCAGGTGTTCAGGACGCTGCTGCAGTGCTGGAAGCCAGGCCATCTCTGTGACATGGTCATAAAAAGCCAGGACACTGAATAAATGGTCAAAGACCCCAAGGACCTCCCGGGGCGTGGGAGACCCACCCCGTCGGCCCAGCCCACTCCCCAGTCTGTTCCCATGGCACCTCCCCTGGCCTCAGGATGTGCATCCTCCACCTTCCGGGCATCCTTGGAAGCAAGGAAAGGTCTTTCTTTGGTCCCTGCCCGCTTTCTGGGTCCACTACTTCCCTATGATTTTTAGAGGCTGGGCTCGGTTAAGGTCTCCACTGACCACTTGTGGGAGGTGATCTGTGGGATAAATGAGAAGAAGTCTTCCTTTTGCTTACTGCCTGTGGGCTAGGGCAGCCCGGCCCAACTGGGGTGGACCACGTCACCTGAGGATATCCATTTGTCCCTTGAGTCTCCCATTAGCCATTTGTTCCTGGGAAAAGCGAAGGCATTCTTCCTACAGTGCCCTCTGCCACTGACAGGGCTTGCCCAGAGGAGAGCAGGCTCCACGTGGCTTCCCTTGTGCCCTGGGGAGACAGAGGCCAGTCCATCGTGCATGGCTGCTCTGCCCTGGAAGTGCCCCCTCCTCCCACCCCAGCACTGGCCCTGCTGCTGGAGGAAGAGCATGTGTCAGGCACCCACCAGAGTGACCAGCATCCCAGGAGACCGAGTCTTCCAGGAGCACACCCCGTGCTGGGGGTGCCAGTCCAGCAGACACTTGCCCTCGGGACTTCAAATGCTTCCTTCACATTCTATTTGCTTCTGACCAAGACAAAGCCAAGACTGGGCAAGCCTGGAGAAGACAGGGACAGGCAGTCCTTGTTGGAGGCACAGTGGTGTAATTCCCTGAGGTCTGACCACAAATGTGACAGCCAAGGTCTCCACAGACGCATGGAAGGATAAAGAAAATGAAGTGTGTACACCCAATGGCACACCATTCAGCCACAAAGCAGAGGGAAGTTCTGCCATTTGTAGCAACATAGACTGAACTGGAGGACACGGAGTGAATAACTTAGGCACCGAAAGGCAAATACTGCATGTTCTCACATGTGGGAGCTAAGAAAATTGATCTCCTAGAGGTAGAGAGTGGTATAGTGGTGACCAGAGCCTGGGGAGGGTGGGGGGGGTGGTGGTGGTGAGAGAGGATGATTGACAGGTACAGGGACCAGGTAGGTAGCAGGAGTAAGCAGCTGCCAACAATTAATTGAATAGTTCAAAATAACCAGTGGAGAGGACTTTGAATGTTATCTACACAAAGAAATGACAAATGTCTGCGGGGATAGACCTGTCACTTGCCGTGATCATTACACATTGTACACATGTATTGGAATATCACCCAGAGCCCATAGAGATCTACAGTTACATTGTGTCAGTTAACATTCCTTTTTTAAGAAAGGCAAGTGAGACGGGCGGAGGTGGGAAGAAACTGGATGGTAGTCTGGAGCCTGCACCTTCCACATGTCCGAGTCCACATGCCTCCACTTTCACAGGAACCCAAGCTTGGTTTCTGGTCCTGCTACCTGCGGCAAATCCCTGCTCAGGGCTCATCTCTGAAGGAAGCCAACCACCTGCCCCGGCATGGGCGTGTGTGGCGCATCTTCTGTGTGGACAGCAGATGGCAGCACTGGCTCTGGGATGGTGCAGCCCCCAGACTTCTCCGGTTCCTGGGCAAGTGCCTTCTTAGCTCCTGGCATGCTGCAGCACCCCAGGGCGCGTCTCAGGAGCACCAGGCAGCTACTTTTAGGAGAAGGAAGATACAGATAATCCACGAGGGCTTCGAGCCCAGGGCAATCAGAGAAGCGATGCTCTGGGTTTTGTTTTGTGACATTTTTTAGGAGCCTCTGAACACTTGTCACACCTGTGGGCTCCTGGAGGGCAGAGGACAGAGGTCCAGTCCCCATTCTGTCTCCAGCCCTGAGCCCAGTGCCTGGACATATTGCCAGAGCTCAGGAAGCACATGTCAATCAATGAGTGTAGCCACATTTCCATTTGATCGTTTCAAGCTAACTCTGCAGGCAGCCTCAGGAGAATGAACTTAGTACTTACTGAGCAGGTAGAACATCTGGTCCCTCACAGAGACCCACAAAAGTTACTTGCCCTCAGTTGTACTAGCCAGGCTTTGACCGGGTCACAAGTGAAAAAGAGGCTGCATGGTGGGCAGGTGGGTTTTGGACCCCAGCTGGATGGGTTGGATCCAGGTGCAAGCTGTGAGTCCTTGGGCAAAGCCCCTTCCCATCTGCTCCCTTGTTTGTAAAATGGGGACAATAACAGCACATCGGCAGGGACGCTCACAGGTGGCTGTGGGGTGATTCAGGGAAGTTCTCAGGGTGTGCCCACTGGATCTGGGTCTGGAGAAGCCCGCTGAGCACGCGGGTGTGTGATGCCATGGGACATGCAACTCCAGCCTTGTCTTGGGGGTTGGGGGCTCAGGGCACAGCCCGTCCACGGGAGCAGTCACCCAATGACTCTCCTGAGGAGGTGCTTGCACACATTAGCTTTGGAAAGACCACCACTCCTCTTGGTGCTGGGAACTGAACCAGAGCCTTCCGCCCTGGGAGCAGGTTCTATACCACTGAGCCCCGCCCCAAGCCACCTTTACTTATGGAGAATGGATTAGAAGTGGGCTGGGCAAGATGGAGGCGGGAGGCAATGATGTGAGCCTGGAATTAGGGTGATCTGCAACCAGGAAGTGCCCTAAAGAGAGACAGGGCATCGACATGAGACGCTGGAGGAGGCAGAACCAACGGAGATCAGATGGCTCTTCAAGGAGGCGCTCAAAATGAACAACCAGAGGCCAGGTCAGGACTGACCCTTGGCCAGCCTTTGCGTGGTGCCATGCTGCTAAAGGAACAGTGTGTCTGCCCTTCCCCCCACCAGGCCTCGTCAGCACCCAGGTCTGCACTCCCGACCCCCTTGCCTGGGTCTGCTCAGGTACCCACCCTGCTCCTGACTCTTCAGCCCCCGGCTGCTCCTTACCTTCTGCCACTGCTCTTGAACATGGCGCTCACCTCCCTCACACCCTCCCATCATCTCTGCCCCTCCTGCCCTCCTGCTGGCCAATGTCCAGTTCCTTCTGTCGGGCTGAACTGCAAGGCCACATAAGCATTTGCTCTGAACTTCGGACGCTGCCGTCTGCCTACGGTGGGCAAGATGAGCTTGCTAAGACAAAGACCCTTCCTTATCCTACTAAAAATCCCACCTGCTCTCAAGACGGAATCCCATTTTTGTGCCTGGAATGTCAGGCTTTGAAGGCAGAGCTCGCCTCGGTCTGATGCCTGAGGAGCCTGGGCACCCTCCACCCGGAGCAGTGCTTTCAAATGCCTCTGCCTCAGAGCTCCTCCTGGGTTGCTGACTGCCTCTGCTGTGGCTTAGGACAGCTCCGAGCTCACCAGGGCAGGGGGTGCTCATGCGTGTCCCCCTGGCAAGGGTGCAGCTCCGAAGGCCTGCGGTGAGCGCAGGCAGCCCTGGGCCACGTGTGGGCCCTGAGGCTGGAGCACTTGGAGTGAGCAGGAGTGAGAAAGGAGACGGGGCAGAAAGTGGCAGTCCCCAGGCACCACCCTGCCCACCAGGTGTCCATTCCAACAGGAAGAGAGGGTGTGGGTGTCACAGAGCTGGAGCCTTCTGAGAAAATGAGGCAATGCAGAGACCCCTCTTCAAACCCGATTCAGGAGACAGAATTCAAGACAGGTAGTCAGAACAGACAGACAGGGTCCATGGAGAGAATGGAGGCCAATTTGGGTCTGGGAAGTTGGAGGGATTGAAATGGTAATTTCTTCAGAGCCCTTCCTCCACCCTGCTCCTACCAGCGGCTAGGGTGACCTGTCCCAGAGATTGTCCCTCCCTCCAGGGAGTTAAAAAAGTTAGTGCACCCTGGGCCCCTTCCGGCCCAGATCACTCCACCAGGCCCCTCCAGCCCCTCTCTTCTCACCTTGGGGCCCTCCCTGCGAGCATCTCCTGGCCCAGTCACTAGCAGAGAGACGGGGAAGACCAGGGGAACACCTAGAGAGGCGCACGCTCTCACTTCCTGGGAGACCGGGATAGCTACGGCCCCTGCTCCCTCCCGGGGAAGCCCATGTTACCCCTTTTTAAATAAGCCCTGCTTTATAGGCCTGCACTTGAACACGTGGGGAAGCAGGATAACTGGAGCTATCAAGTCGGAAAGATCCCAGATGCTGCTCAGAGTAATAGGCTTAGTTCAGTAGTTCATGGAAGGGAGAGGGAAAGGGAAAGGGGACACTCTCAAGGGAGAGGAGAGGGACAATGCACCTGTCCTTTACTCCAGTTTTGTTGGGGATTCAAGAGAGGTTTCCAGAGTCCCGCTCAGGCTCACCTCTTTACTTTTGATTGACAGCAAGATGACATCAGATTTTCAAGTCCCCACTGTCTTGACAATTTTAGGTCACTTTGTTTGGCTCATGCTGACTGGTTCTAATTGGCTTCTTACCCATAAATTCTTGCCGATTTTATGGTTAGGAGGAACTATCCTTATCTCCCAGAGTTTCAGGACCAGGTCACAAAAGTCTCTCCCATTGACATTATCTCTGGCCTGCATTTCTCCTGCAGATAACAGGTGGTTGGCTGAGGAATGTGACATGTCCTGTCCACTCAGGCCAGGCGGGGCTGCAGGTAAATTGCTTCTTGGAAAAGAAAGCATGTGGGGTTGCACAGTGGGCCCAGTTTACAGAATTATCCCCTCACACTCACGTTCCCACCATCCTCACCTGCCTGTTCCCTAACGTGGGGACCTGACCTGGCCCACTGACACACATCTGAAGGTCACTAGTTCCTGCGTGGTTGATAGCAGTGGTTCAACAGAACTCCACGGGAAGGAAACGTCCTATTTCTGGTCAACGTGACAGCCCCCATAATACGGAACCACCAAGCTCCATGGTCAGAGTGACGGAGGACCTGAATTTATTCTAAACTTAAATGGCACCTGACCTGGGCCACCACATAGGACGGTGTGGGTCTGTACACATCTGCATTGAGCTTAAGATGCCAGACACAACCCCGACGTTTCAGCCAGGACTTCTCTACAGCAGGACCAGGCCGGCGTGGCCCAGGAGAGAACGGCTTCCAGAGAACACAGTCAGGCTGCCCAGGCCGCGCCTCTCACCAACACGGCTGAGTCCAGCACACCAGCCAGTGTGCAGTGGCTGGCCGGCCATCGGTCCATTACCCACCAGCCCCCGTGCTCTGCCGGGCCAGCAAGGAGGGCAGGTCCTGAAGGGCTCTGCATCCCTCCGGGCTTACTGTACGTTCTGAGAGACCCTGAAAAGTAAGTGCAAATTTTGCTTCTTTTATTTGGTTAAAAAAAAAAAGCTTCGCAATAAAAAATTTCTATTCAAAGGCAAAGGGAGAACCCATAACATGGTCTAGATCTGAACTTCAGTCTCTGGGAGTCTGATGGGTCGACCCCAGCACCTTTGCCCACCTCACACTCCCACAGTGGTTCAGGTGGGCACCTGAAATTACTGAATGCCACCCCCCCCCCAGGCGAAGCCACCACAGATGTGTCCGTCACACAGCAGGATGTCTCTGGGGCCAGACCCAAAAGCAAACATGAGAATGTTGAACCTGCCAGATTTCCTCTTCCCAGAGGTAGGGAGACCCACCACAGGAAGCAGCCCTTCCCTGTGGTCTGGAAGACTCAAGGCCGAAGAAATGGAGTCTGAACTCCCGGCCTGGGCTGAGGACGGCCTGAGGACTGGCCACAACAGCCCCCACCCTCCTGCGGGAGGAAGTGCGGAAGCAGTGCTCCCCGCGGACTCCTTTGAGCCCAGAGGCCGAGGTTTCCTCCCCTGTAAACAGCCAGGCCTCCCACAGCCCCAGCCTTCAGCTGTGGCCCCGCAGCCAGGCCTCTGGGAGGGACGTGAGGAGGGCGGAGGGCAGGCCAGGGCTGCAGAGTGCTTAGGTCTGGCTTTCATTTTTATAGTACCTCAGGACCAACGGCCATCACGGCACGGCAGCAACAACTGACACTTACAGGGCCAAGGCTCAGAAACGGCTTCTAAGGAAAGTCATGCAGGTGTGAACAACAGGGGGCCTGTCCTTTCCAGAAACTTCCGGCCCAAGGCTGGGAAAGGCAGCCTGCGCTGCACTCGGGGTTTTCTCTTATTATTAGAACATTGGGGTGCGGGGTCAACCTGGCCTTGTGTGCACTCCTTTTGGTTTTAAAACAAAAAGAAATCTTCATTAGAATATGTTGGGTCCTGACTCAAAGAGACCATTTCTGAGACAAAGGGAATCTACAAACTGAGCAATAGAAGAAACCAAAGATTCGGTTTTTTAAATGTGTTTTTTAAAAATTTTTTTTATAGTTATAGATGGATAGAATGCCTTATTTGTTTATTTTTATGTGGTGCTAAGGATCGAACCCAGTGCCTCACATGTGCTAGGCAAGTGCTCTGCCACTGAGCCCCAGCCCCAGCCCTTAATTGTGTTTTTAAAAAATGCTTTTGTTCTTGTAATCCCAAGCCACTGTGGTGGGGGTGGAGGTGTTGAGTGAGGCAGGAGAATTTCAAGTTGGAGGCCAGCCTCAGCAACCTAGGGAGACCACCTGTATCAAAAAAAGAAGAGGGTCAGCTCCAGGCAGAGCCGCTTGGGTTTAATCTCTGCACCACCCCAAATGCTTTGTTAAGTATGGCAAGATCTTCGTTGTTAGAAAACGTCCGTGTGGTTGAAGATACACAATAAAGGGTGGAGGGGTGAAATGGCTGCTGAGCACCCATGTCCTCGGCCAGCTTGTCTGTGTCCCCGTGCAGCCTGGAAACCAGCGCTGGCAGGAGGAGTCCCGTTAGCCTCCTGTGCCCAGGGAAGCACAGCATCCCTCTCGTTCTACTCCTGGACCTGTGAGGGTCACCTTGGGATGTTCCTGCCAACACTCTCCCACTCAAGAGTGTAAAGCTCTGCGGCCGGGGCTCCTCACGGACCCTTGGCAATCTATGGAATTCACAGAGACCAGAAAACTTGAGTGCTTTCACAGTGACTTGTACTTGGGATCCCTGACCACTTTGTTTTTGGATTGAACCAGGGGCACTTAGCCACATCTCAGCCCTTTTCTTCTATTAATTTAGACAGAGTCTTGCTAAGTTGCTGGGGCCGGTCTTGAACTTGCCATCCTCCTGCCTCAGCTTCCTGTTGCCGAGATTACAGGAGGGCACCACCACGTCGGTGTAACATGTTCTTTGTGACACAGCCCTCAATAGACGAAGACCCCCGGCAACCTGCATCTCCCTCACGTCACCTGCACGCAGCCCCATTGTTTAAATACAGAAGTTAAGGGCCCTACTTTAGACCGAAGGGCTGCCCCACCTTTCCTAACACTGGCTAAGTGACCCTGGCTGGGCAAGTCACATGATCTAAGCTTGACACTGTCTTTCTGAAAATGGGTATAAGATTAGTGCAACTATTATTAGCTCATAGAGCTGTAACAGAGTAAGAAATGCCAAGTGCCTGGCACATTGTACCAAGCACCAAGTAACTATTTCTAGGGTGTCTGTTACTCCTACTTATGTTTGTGGTCCCCACGCCAAAGCAGGTTCTGGGAGGAGCTTTATCTTAACTCCTGTCTCCTTGTGCTCAGCACAGTGCCTGGCTCACAAGAGCTCTCAGTACAGATTGTTGAATGGATAAATGCATCCACCCACCCATCTGCTCACCCAGTCAACAAGCATGAACAGCTGAGGGAGTGGCTGTGCAAAGGCCCAGAGGCTCGTGTGTTTGAAGAATAAAGAGGCAGCTGTGGCTGCGGTGGAAGAAATGAAAAGGTTTTATATTTTTTTTCTGTTTGATTAAAAATGACCACACAATAACATTCAGAAATTAAAAATGATGTATTAAAATATTCACAGAAATACAATTGAAAAAGATCAAAAATAATAATGAATTGACATTTTTTCCCTAGTTGGATACATTTCCATTGAGCAACTAGACAGGATTCTTAATTTCCTAGGTGATCCCTTTTAGGTGTCCCTTCACAAGACTCATGAGAAATTTGGCCTTTCTCTGGTTACAAGTCTGGCCCTGGTCACAAGGGCCAGACAACCAGAGGGAAGTGGTGGACCAGTGGGTGGAGGCTCTGCTCCTGGACACCAGCCTCTGGTAAGAGGCTTTTGCAAGCGGCTTCCAGGGCAGGCAGGCCGGCCAGACAGGCCCAGCGCTCTGGATGCTCGCTGCCCTGGGGGAAGGGTCAGGAGGGGTCTTCTCCCATGAGGCAGAGGCAGACAGTGTGAGGTGTCCACTGGGCAGGGAGGCCAGGAGTCGGGAGGGGAGGAAAGAGAAGTGTGTGGAGCCCACAGGGCACCGGCCTCCCACTCGCATGGCCCTACAGGAAGGAGAGAAGGCAGGCTCACACCTGGGCTCTGGCACTGGGCCTCCCGGCCACACCCCGGCCAGCCACCCACACAGGAGCCTGTTGAGGGCTCCCGAGGTCTTGAAAACAGGCAAAGGTCTCGGGCCAGAGTGCTGGGTGGAAATGGCAGCCAGCTGAAGGGCAGCTACGGCCAGCAGGTGTCCACCGAGCCCGCCTGTTGGCTGGCGAGTGCACGCAGTGTGGCTGCAGCCGGGGGAGTGGCAGCAGGTCTCAGGGAGCAGCAGAGCTCAGGGGTGGACGGCGGGCTCTGCAGCAGCCCTTTCTCCACTCACCACCTTGGAGCACCTCTAACCCAAGTCGTGCCTTTTCCCTTTAAAATGCTCTTGGGATGCAGCTTCCCACACTTCCCACAGGGGACCGAGGTGGGAAGGGGACAGCTCTCAGGACTCCAGGGGAAGGGCCCACGCCCCTGCCCCCACCTTCTAGATGACTCTCTTCCCATAGCCAGGGCTCCGGGCAGTTCTAAAGGGGAAAAGGTTTCTTTAAACAAAGCACTCTGGGAGATGGGAGAAGGCAGCCTGCACCGCGGTCTCAGGAGCTTTGCCAGCCCAGGAAAACCTGAAAACGCACAGAGGCGGCCGTGGAGGAAAGTGAGAAAACAGATCCCTCTCCTTCCTCCACCACTGCTCACTGTTTCAAGTAAGGGGGCGGGAGGGGCGAAGGGAAGGGGGAGGGGGGTCAAAGGGGGAGGGGGGAAGTGAAGGGGGGAGGGACAAACCAACCACAACACCAAAACAGGAAGAGAAGAGAGCACACGGGCACTCTACTCCCACTGATTCCTAAACGTCTTGACCCCTGGAACCTCAATTGTCTTGGGGGTGGGAAGCTTTGGGGAGACCAGGCCGACTGCCGGGGCCTGCTCTGCTGGAGGCCTGAGGCTTCCGGAGGAAGGTCATCCTGTGCAGTGCAAGGCCAGGGCCCTCTGACCACCAGGGCCATCTGACCACCAGGGTGATCCAGCCAGCCCAGGTCCCTTCCCATATCCCCTGTGGGAGGGAGCCAAGGCCTCTCTGGCTTCCTGTGTTATGGCCACTCTGGCCCAAGGAGGAAGGACCAGGGCCCAGAATGTGATTGATACCTTTCTCCTCCACAGGTGCCACACTCCCGCGCTCAGCCTGGCCTTCCATCAAATCACCCCCATGTGTTGATCCAAGGCTCCTGGAGGGGAGCGGTACCAGTGGCACATAGTGGCAATCCTTGCTAACCTAGTGTCATGAACCCACACACTGACAGGACATAAAGGGTGTGACATTTAAGTAAGTCGACACAACACATAAAATTTGCCCCGTGTTTTAGAAAAGCACCAACACCAATTTCTCGAACCTTCTGTAAGCGGCACAGTTAACAGATGCTGTCTAAAAGCTACAACCAAATGAACGGTTCTGGCGCGTGTGATAGGGCCCCTGGCTGCGTGTGCGCCACGGGATCTCCTTCCTCCCATGACAGTAAATGCTAAGACTGGTTGAGCCCTTGGATTAAAAGGCCACGTCCACTGGAAACACAGAAGTCTGCTACTGTCTCTGAAAGGCAACCACATCTAAATGGTGGTGACAGGAATGTTTCTGAAATGTCTCAACTGTTAATGACCCCCAAAGCATGTACAAAAACGGCAAGACGTTTATACGTAGGCAGATTCACACCCTCACACCATCTTCTCGACATGCAACGCTGGCCCCACAGCAGGAAGATTAAATAGAATATACATGTCCTTCATCCACATCCTTTCCTCCCTCTGGGTCTACACATGTGTGTGTTCTGGCCTGTCCCCAAGGCCACACGTGGTTATGGGCTACATTTTCTGCACAAGAGTCCAGTTTGGGTTTGTTTCTTGTCCAGGATGCTCTGGGTCTTAATTCTTCCGGATGTCCGCATACACCACGGATTCCGACTTGTTGATCTTGTCACTGTGATGGCCGCCGGAGTGGTCTAATTGCGCATATATGACTGGGCCCTGGAAGAGAAGGAGAATTAGAGGTCTTGGGCGACCGCGTGCCTACAGGACAGGTGTCTCAACCACGGTCGGGTTGTGGCTCTGGTTCTAAAGCACAGAACCCCCTCGTCTGTGTGTCTACAAGAAGACTTCCCCTGCAGGACCTCCTGGACCCCTGTCCACCAAGGCTAGGCACGGGTGGTGCCTCTCAAGCCAGCACGGGCACTTTGTTACACTTCTCTCATTACGTGACCACATAACACTCCTCCTCAGGAATATCCCTTGCTTTAGTCCCACAGCACTCTGCAACCTTAGCAATAGCCATCAGTCTTCAGGACCAGACGGCACGTCTGTCAACCTGAGACGCGTGGAAACTATGGAAAACACACTGGGTGCCACTCAAAGACACCATCAATTTGAACTGGTCATTTTAGATAAACAGGTACTTTTATTTTTTTGTGTATGGTACTAGGGATTGAACCCAAGGGTGCTTTACCCCTGAGCTATATCCCCAGTTTTTTTCTTTTTATTCTTTCTTTTGAGACAGGTTGCTAGGTTGCTTGGGGCCTTGTTAGATAGACTGCTTGAGGCTGGCCTCAAACTTGGGATCCTCTTGCCTCAGCCTCCCAAGTTGCTGGGATCACAGTGTGCACCACAGTGTGCTCCGACTTCCCCAGGAGGGCCAGGCCCCAGGTACGGGGTGCGGGCTGGTAATGTAGCAGGGCCCGTGTGACTCACAGGACAGTCCCCCAGCACCGCATGTGGCTCCAGCGCAGGAGAGCCTCGGTGCATCAGTTTCTTCACCTCTAACACGGCCCTGAGAACGGCATCCACACCTGAATCCACAGGCTGAATGAGGTCCTTGGGCACCCAGGTCTGCCTGTCAGGCCGACTACACATACACCAGTTACCACCGAGCTGCCATTACCCGGGCCTCTTATTACACCAACACAATTTGAAACAGGCTGAAGTAACTGACGGGTTAACCGGGGGTCGAAGCCCAGGTGCAGGCATCCGGGTGGGGGTGCTCTCCCTGAGGCCCCTCGTGGGTGAGATCAACAGACCACACCGTCCACATGAATCACAGAGACCTCCTACCTGCATCCAAAGCAGAAGACGCAGAAGACGCTCAGAGGACAGCGTTCCCACAGCTGATAACAGAGCCCTGCCCATGACCCCCGCGGGGAGGGGTCCGCAGGGTGCAGCAGCATCTCCGCAGTGCAGTCAGCGCCGTCCACTGAGCAGGATCTACCCCTCTACTGCTGGAATCGGGGCCAGTCTCTGACCTGCTCTGACCCACGGAGTAAGGCCCAAGGGACATCACCACTGTCACACCTAGGCCCCCCCCCACAGGTCTCGTAGCTTCCCCTCCTGCACTGGTCGTGGGACCCGCACCCCACACTCTGCGAACAAGCCCAGGCCAGCCTGCTGGTGACATGGGACACACGGCCCAACTGTCAGACTGTGAGTAAGACCACACTATGGCCGCCCAGCTGGTCATCCCTCCAGCCAATGCAGGTGCACAAGTCAACTGCTCGCCCTGTCAACAGGAGAGCCTGAGCCAAACACACGGCGGCTCTTACACGGGAGGCGACCGAGAAACCCTATGAGTGGAAACGCAGAGGAGCCGGGAACAGAGGCTGCACAAGTACCTGCACCTGCCAGCAAGCCCCAGAGGCCGGGGCTTCCCACTCCCACCCAGGACGCTGCGCGGTTTTCCTTCAAGCTGCTCGGCTGTCTGAGGTCACTCCCCCTGTCCCCGTGGGATGTGACAGAGCGACTCAGGTCTTGGCAGAGGAGGGTCCAGAGGAAGGGAGGAGGTGCCCTGAGCTCGGGACCTGCTAGCGGGTCCTCAGAGCTGGGGGAAGTCTGCTCCAGAGGGTGCTGAGAAGCTGAGGTACGCGGGGTCCCCACAGACCTGGATTTTGAGGGCCAACGAGACTACTCAGGACTGCAGAGGACACCATGAAACCAGCTCAACTTGCAGATGACCCTGCCACTGCAGAGACGGTCACTTGGCTACGCAGGAATAATAAGGAGAAGGACGACAAGACCACACCAGCCTACCTCTTTTTGCAGTAAATCTCTTCTTCACTGAGGGGCCACACCCAGACACTCCTCCCCCACACTCTCCTCCATGTGCTTTGTTTCGATATTTTCCCTCAAATATTGACTCCAACAACGGGCCTTAAGTACTGAAAATGTTTCCAGAAACAAACGGCCTGACGTAGATGGATCCTTTTAGTGATAACTGGAGAGAAATGTACCTCTGAATCCTCCTTCATCAAATTTATTCCCAAGTAAAAACATCCTGGAAGGTGGGCCAGGAAGAGAGGGTTCTGGAAGAACAAAGAGCCCTGAGCAGGCACCGCGGCTAGCCGGGCAGCGCCTCCCCACCCGGAAGGGGTCACTGCGCCGAGGTCTGTCTGAGCTCACGCTCACGGCTGCTGACAAGACACTCTCAGTCCTCACTCCAGTGTGTGAAGAGCCAGGTGAAAGGGCAGCACCTAAGTCCCGTGGCTCTCTGAGGCAAATGCGACCGATACTGACCATCAACTCGGAACTGGAGCAGGACAGGAGGAGCACCCTTCTCAGGACCTGGTGGACAGGCTGACACCAGCTCCGCCACTGACGACTACCCTCGGCTCAGCGCCTCGGCCACAGCTCCGTTTCTACAGGGGCCACAAAGAACGCAGCGTATTCAGCTGCCGAGAGGCGAGCATGCACGCAGCGATCTTGCGCATCTCGGTGTCTGCGTATTAGAGCCAGCAAACTCTTAAATATCCCAACCACCTTTCTCCAAAATTGCTGCCTTTTGCAAAACCATGCCCAGGAAACCAATTCTCATCAAGTACTTACACAAAAATTATTTTAAACTAAGCTTCATAAGGGATTTCTGGCTCATTTCCTCCCTGTGCTGCCCCCACTCCCACCCCCACGTCATGAACGCATGCCTTGTGCTGGGGAGGGCTCTGGCTCTGCTGTCCACCCTCCCTTTGCCTCCTCTGCCCCTCGGGGCGAAGCAGGGTGACATCTAAGCCAGTCAAAATTCATGTCCCCTTGCAGGTGACTGGAAGACGTAACAGCGTGTGCCTGATTCCTGGACAATGGGATCGAGGACATGTTTGCTGGGGGGCTTCTGTTAATCAGTCTTCTCCACTCGTCACGGTGGTGACCAAGGGCGCACGCCTGGAAATTAGGGTGCTCCTTTTAAAGTCCCCTTTGTGGGGAGCTATTATCCTTTTCTTCTTATGGTGAAATAGCAGGGAGCTACTTACTCATCCACAGTGACCGCTGACACCGTTCAGTTCTCAGGTGGCGCCTGCACAGGGAAACGCAGGAAGATGAGAGAACCCTTGGGATGAACTCAAGGGAGGGTCTGTCAACATTCCTGCCATGTCCCCACTCCCAGCTCTGACTGTCACAGACCCATGTGCACATCACGCAGGCCTAGGGTTAGAACCACACCCCAGAGACAAGAGAAGCGATGCCCATGTTAAACGTCTCTCCAAGCTAACACCAGGGTGACCCGGGTCTGGAACACACGACTAACCCCTACAGCGCCACACGGGACTTATCTAGACGTGAAAATCTCCCCAAGGTTGTTTGCTGGAATATCCTCAAACACTTCTCTACCTGGTGGAAGAGCCTGGGGTTCTCTGAACACCCCGGGAGACTCCTGAGAGCAGCGCTGGGTGCTGATCTCTGCCTTGGTCCTGTGGCAGCCAGCCGCATGGCTCATGTGGGCACTCAGATGCCCACAGAAGTGACGAAGGAGGACACGGCGGACACAGTCAGATAACACATCAGCTCAAACGGAGGGCGGTACGTCTCCTGGGGCCTCTGCTGAGAGCTACGCTGGACAGGGCCTGGGCTCTCTGCAAGGGAAGCACCCCCGATCGTGCAAAGCAGCACCGTGGTGACGCTGACACAGCCAGCAGGGTCACTCGCGGACACACCGAGGGCTTAGAATGCCGTGGAGTATCTGAGGCCAATGTTCTGACCCGGGACAGTGTCCTCCAAGGCAGTTAGTGTGACACTGAAGCCGGACAGCACAGCACACTTCACGAGGGAACACTTGCAGAGTGAGAGGGCCACCTCCGTCTCTCACCCCGGGCCAAGGACACGCCCAGGTCATTTACCCTTGGTAAGTCTGACAGAAAGGGTACAAACAGGACCTGGAAGACAGCAAGGAAGGCTGGCGCTCTGCTTTCCTCCCCAGGGATGACAGACTGAACCCACAGCCCTGTGTCCGAGCTGCACCCCAGCCCTCTTTTTTGATCTTTATTTTTTATTTTGAGGCAGTATCTCTCTAAGAAGGCACCCAGGCTGGCCTCGAACTTGCCATTCTCCTTCCCCAGCCTCCTGAGTGCCTGGGATTCCAGGTATGAGCCACCCACTCTGCTGACAAAAGCGACTTCTACCCAATCTGACCATCGCTGTTTCACTTATTTTGGGGGGGAGCTGGGGATTGAACTCATGGCCCACGAGCTACACACATGCTGCCCCTGGGCCTCAACCCAGCCCTCTATCTTTTAATTGGAGTGCTCTGAGCATTAATGTAAGGTGACCATCAGTGTGGTGAGTTGACCTACTGCTTCACAGGAGACCCCTCTTGATTTGGGTTTTGCTTTCCGTGGTTTCAGTTACCCACAGCCAAACACGGCTCAGAAACAGACACGGGCAAGTCTTTCTCTCCATACTTCATTTTGGATGTTCCTACTTCTGCCCTCCACTTCACTGACCTTTTCTTCTATGGTATCTGATGGGTCTTTCATGGCACCCCATGCCTCTTCAGTTCTGAATTCCCTGGGATTCTGTTTTACAGATCTACTTTTCCCCTCATTATGTTCAGGGTTTTCTTTATATCCTTGAGTCTGGGATTTACAACGCCTGTCTGAAGCTCCCTGTCTATGAACTGTTGCCTCTGACATTTCACCAACGGCCTCTCGGCCGGCTCCTCCTGGTTAGTCTTCTTCTCCTCTGTGTATGCCTAGTGAGTCTGACGGGTGCAGACATGGAGAATTGCACAGTGTTGGCCATGGGGTTTGCTGTGTTCTTCTAGAGTGCTAGCTTCCTTTTCCTTGTCTGGAGTGTCTGTTTCTGGCACTCTGCGGCCACCTCACACTGCACCTACCTCCCCAAACCACTCCCCTCCTGCAGGGCAGCAGCACCCTGCAGGGCTGCCAGCTGGTGGCCAGGGCCTGGGCTCATTGTCCTTTCTCCCGGATCACAGAGATGTACAAGCTACTCCCAAATGTCTTAAAGCCCTGTTTCTTCTCTTCCTTCCTAACACGCTTTCAGCAGGAGAGCCACACCCAGAGCCACTCTCAGTCCAAATAGGAGACTGAGGCTCCGGACACAGAGAGGGAGGGAGAGGGAGAGCAGGACCAGGCCAGGAGCCCATGCTGCCTCGCACCCCAGGTTTGACCCCATCCCAGTCACCTGGCAGCAGAGCACCAGGTCTCCTCACCACGGAGCGCGCCAGGGAGCAAGGTGCAGGCCTCACCCACAGGGTCTCTCAAGCACGGCCGCCGTCTTTACTTCCTCTAAAGCCTCTGTCCCACTAGCACCTCCGTGGGGCAGGCAGCTGGCCAGCTCAGCCGGCTCCGCGCCCTGAAGCACCACGTGGTCTCAGGCACCCAGGCAGCTGCCCGGCAAGGCCACAGCATGGCCAGACAGCGCTGCCCACAACGCCACAAGGCCACTCTGTGCCAGATTCCAAGTGAAGTCACTTCTGCATCTCTGCAGTAGGTGGGAACCGAGTCTGCCAATCATCCAGATAAAGCCTCCCATGGTTTTCTACAGAATCCATGAAAATCATTTTTGTTTTACTCAACCCCAGGAAGATGGCTTTTCCTGTGAGTTTCTTTTAGAGGACTTCAGTACAGAACACAATTTGCTCGATTTTCCTTGGGCAATTCACTGAAGACTCTCTCAGCGGAGAAAGCCATTTCTTAATTCTACCTGGGCCACAGGAGTCACATTCTGAGCAAATAATGTGTTAGTGTGGCTGGGTGGAAACCTCAGCAGGGCAGTGTCCTCCACATACGGAGGCTGTGGTCTCTCCAGAGTGGACCTTGAGCACGCTCATGCTTGCTCGCTCGCTCTCTCTTTCTCTCTCAGCTCTGCTTCCTTCCTGAACCCAGAAAAGACAGAGACCAAAGTTTGGAGCTCGGTGCCAGGGCAGGACTGCCGTCGGCCATTACCTGGTGGGATCCGGAAGGCAGACTCTTTACCAGACCCTCTGTGTCGGAGGAGGACTTCCGTGGAGCCTGCTTAACCGGAGACAAACTCTCTGATGTGTTGCAGCTGATGTAATGGCAATTTGGAGAACAAATGTAAAAAGAAAATTAAAAATTAAAATGAATGAAAACAAACACAGAACGGTGAGTGAGGCCAGACGCAGCGCAGATACGTGAACAGACAGCGGACAGTGGGCACGTGAGGGTCACCCGCCTTGAAGACGGTTTTCCACCTGATACTCGTTCTCTTAAGTGGTGGATCTATTGCAGAAATCAGTGTGGTGCCACTCCTTCAGCCCCGTTTCAAATGAAAACAGGGAGTTCTGATCACAGCACAGCCTGGGCTGCTTTTTAAACCCTACTTTGGGACAAAGGTCCAAAGGAGTGAGCTTATACCTTAATGCAATCTGCTTCTGCTATCGTCAAAAGCAAACGTCTTCTGAATGTATTTAAAAACTACATCCAGAGTGAGTCTTGGCTTTTCTTCCCCCCATCCTCTGGTTCCCCGTATTGTTTCACCACGGGTAACACAACCACACCAAAAGCAACAGAAAAAGGCAAACAGCAGACAAAGAGACCACCCAGGAAGTCATGAGGGTGGGAAGTGTGGGGTGCCACTCGGCAGGTGAACTCTCCCGGTGAGAGGGCTTCAGCAGCAAGGCTACTGAGAGAGGGGACGGGAGCTCCTGGAAGGGGTCATCAGCGATCCCTAAGGCATGTGTCATCAGCATAGCTTAAGTCCTTTTTTAAAAATATTCATTCTTAAGTTTTAGGTGGACACAATACATTTATGTGGTGCTGAGGATCGAACCCAGTGACTCGGGCATGCTAGGCGAGCGCCCTGCCACTGAGCCACAACCCAGCCCCTCGGCCTAAATCCTCTAGGGCAGAGTTGTGAAAACTTTGGAGTTCGGGGAGAAGCACATTTAAAGTGTCAGTGCTCAGACTGAAGCACACCACAGACACTGCGTCCATTGGGACGGGAGGCTGCCTGGCTGAGCCAAGGTCGTGTAACTGCTCTGAAATAAGAAGGCTCAGTGACCGATGATAAAACTCATGTATGAATAAAGAAAACAAAGACGCGCCCGTGCACACAAGCGTGCGCGCACACACACACTCACAGACACGCGCGTGCGCGCACATTTCCCATGAGAGCACACACAGCCACAGGAACCAACTTCATCTGGACGTCGTGCGCAGCTGCCTGACATACTTGTGGACAGACCTCGAGGGCTGCTGGTTAGCGGAGCAAGCTGGTTAGTGGCCACAGGGAGACGGCTGAACGGACACGGAACGTGAACAGCAACAGGCAGTGTGATTAGTTACCATGTGTCTACTGGAGAGGAGGAGCCCAGCCCTGCCACAGTCCCAAGCGTCTTCTACGTCAGCTCTCCTTAGGAGTGGGGGAGAGGCAGCTGACCAGCACACCAAGGGAGGGAGGCAGGGGAGGGAAAAAACCAGAGTGAGAAGAGCAGCTCGGAATGCCATGCAGGGTCTAAAGAACATCGCTCTGCCTTTATTAGCCCCAAAGCAAGAGCTCCACCACCTGGATTAGTCCTGTGCTGAGACCCAACCCTCTGCCTGCTCAGGAAAACTCTCGCCATGCAAGCGAACCAAGCCAGCCCCAGAGAAGCATTCCATGCGGCGGGCCGCGCCCGAACCGGAGCACTCAAGCCCGTCCATCGCAGCACTCCTAAGCTCCACGCCAGCAGACGAGGATCTGCTGTCAACCAGCAAGAGAGCGCACGGCTCGGCCAGCCCTGCAGGACGTCCCGCACCTGCAGCACTGCGCCTGTGACACGGCCCCAGTCCCCCGTCACCCCAGCCTCCCCACGAGAGCTCTACGTAGCTTATGTGGGTTAGCTCTCCAGCCCAGGCGGGAAAGGCAAGGTCCTGCCATCAGACACACCGTGCTCAAAGGTGTCCTGTGAGAAGTCACAAACAGAAACTTTTTTTCCTTGCTGTTAGATTTTTTTAAAATATTCATTTTTTAGTTTTCAGGTGGACACAATATCCTTACTTTATTTTTATGTGGTGCTGAGAATCGAACCCAGTGCCTCACGCATGCCAGGCGAGCGCGCTACCGCTTGAGCCACATCCCCAGCCCTTGCTGGTAGATTTTATTGTCTTACGGCCCCAGTTTGGGGTGGGGAGAGAAATTACTAAAAGGAGGAGCCCCACATCATCACACCAGGCTAGGACAGTTAGGACTTCCTGACCAGGGTTTTGAATTGACCCAGTGGGAAAGCAGACTCTCGTGAGGTTAATGCTAAGAAATTAAACTCAGGTAGGGTAAGTGAATCTGCAGCTTCAGAATCCCAAACGCAGAGTGGACCATCCCAAACAGTGCAGCCCACCCTGTCCAAAAGGGACCTGCAGAGCAGGGGCCAGCCTCCTGTCCACAGCCGGGAGAGGCACCGACTGGAGAAGGCCAGTTAGGGGCAGAGGCAATGCAAGTCACTCTTCACAAGCTCTCTCCACACACGCAGACCCTGCCTTGTCTCCCCACCTCCGAGTCAGATCTTACCCAGTGTAATCCCGCTTAGAGTTCCTCCTTCGGTACAGGACGGCCAGGATCATGCTGACGAGCAGGGTGAGACCCACAACCACAGCAGTGACGATGCCCACCACCACCCAGACCGGGAACAGCGGCAGACTCTCTGGAGAGAGAAGAGGACAGCGGTGAGGACTCTGCAGGGAGGAAGGCAGCTCCACGGGCCAGGCACCACCTTCCCTGTCCACTCAGCTGTCACCCAGCCAGACACCAGTACCCAAGTGAGGACACGCACACGTCGGCTATGAAGAACCAACGACAGAACTGAGCACTTCTGATCCCTGGTCCTAAAACCAAAGCAAGACCGAGAGGTGCACCTTATCATTCTACTCAAAGTGGACATGAATTTCCTGCTGATTCTCAAAAAAAAAAAAGGGGGGGGGAATATTTGTACTGCTTTTAGAAATGTCAAATTTTTGTTCCTAGAAGACATCGGAACAGCATTGATTTTCTTCTTTCCCACTGTCCTCTACAACTAGCCACCATCAATTCAGGTTCTGTACAATCAACACTGAAAAGCCAATATCCCTAGGATCAATCCACAGGCTCCTGATGGGGGAATGAGTGACACAGCCGGACAACGGGCAGTTCCCAGCAGCCAGGGATGGGGGGTGGGCCACAGGTCCACAGAGACAGGCAGCACAGCTGTCTGGCTAAAGCCCTCCCTCCAAATACAACCGACAGGTCACTCTTGTTCCCAGTGGAGCCTGGGATAGAGGACGGCCACCACTGTGGAGACGCTGAAGGGCCGAGTACCTTTCTCCACCACGTACAGCCTGATGTGCCCAGGCTGGACAACGATGTCCGGAGGGTTCTTGACGTCGCAGATGTAGGTGCCATTGTGAATGAACTGCATGTTTTCTATGCTGATGGACGCATCTTTCTTGTCCAGGTCTCCAGCCCAGCTGATTCTGTCCTTAAACGGGGGGTAGTTGCCCAGGTACACTTGTCCTTGGGAGTAGTGGAAGAACTGCAATTAGAGCAAGAGCACAGTGAGCCACGCTCAGAGGCAGAACCCCTGGAGCCTGGACGGGCCGCGGTGAGGCTCGGCGGTAGTGCTTGCCTGCATGCACGAGGCCCTGGTTTGATCCCCTCACCACCTGTCAGACTCCACACTGAAAGACATGCCACGCCCACAACAGGTCTCAGACGCGGAACCCAAGCCAGAGGTGCCCGCCTCTGGAGGCTGAGCTGCAGCCCCGTCCTCCAGCGTCCTCATGCTCTCCTCAGACCTGCTTTTAGCAGAGAACTTTCTCAAAGACCTTCAGACCTGGCACCATGGGAAGGGGACCGTCCCGGAGCTCAGATCTAAGCCAGCAGCTGTGCTGGGGGCCTCTGCTCTCCTTCCTCCTGGACAGGTGACGTGGTGCTGGGGACAGTGACTTGGCAGGTAACCCTACCACCTCCTGACCTCATAAGCACCTCTACTCTGTGAGTGCCCATGTCCTGGCCTGGCATTAGCATCTCACCTGATGGCCCACCATTTCACGGGTGGCTGCCCTGCCCTCCAAGCCTGTCACCTGCTGTGAACTTCTGCCTACTCGTCTCATCTCCACCGAGGCTGCTGTCTGAACCCTGCTGGGCCTCCATTCCCCCTGCAAGTGTCAGGAGGGGGCTAGCAGGAGGCCTTGGGAAGTGTGGACTGCACCCTCGGGACAGGCCCACAACATGATAAGGGGTCCAACCAAAAGAGCACGTGCTCCTGCCCCTCGGCCCTCGCCAGGTGCTGGGCCCTTGGTCTTGGTCTGCCCAGCCTCCATCTATAGGAAATAAGCTTAGTTCCTTACACTTTATCCAGCACAGAATGGGCTCAGACAGGAAAGACTCACTGGAGCCACCAGCCTTGGAGCGGTCCTTGATCCCTGCCTTCTTCCAGGTGACTCCCACCCCGCTGCCGGATCTGCGGTTCCCTGTCCCGTCTCCACATTTCCATAGCAACACCCGAGTCATGCTCATCAGAGTGGCCTCGAAACTGGTCGACTCCAGTCTGAGTGGAGGCTAATCTACCTTCTAGGCTAAATGAGGGCTGGGGCTGGGGCTCAGTGGGAGAGCAGCTGTCCTGCAGGTGTGAGATCCTGGGTTCGACCACAGCACCACCTAAAAATAAATAAGTAAATAACTAAAGGTATGGTACCCATCTACAACTAAAAAAAATAAAATAAAATAAAATAAAATGGCTAAATGATCACCAACAAGCAGAAATAAGATAACTGTTAGTATTGCTAATCCAATATATGCCCTGCAATTAAGCTGACCCAAATACTCATCAGAAACTGAAGGGTCTGAGGTTTTAACCTACTTGCAAACTAACAAATTTCCTGGTGGGACGTGGGAGCCCAGATCTGTCTGTTGTCTGAGTCAGGGTCTTGCTGCGGTCCAGGCTGGTCCTGAACTGGCCAAGTGATCCCCTCCCTAGCCTCCCCAGCGGCTGGGACTACAGGTGTGCCCCGCCACACCCAACCTCAAGTCCAAATCTTCAGCTCTCACCCCGAAGGACACAGTGTCTTTACTACACTGGGCAGTCGGCAAATGTGTCCTCTCCCCAGAGGGGAACAGCGTTGGTCTTCCAAAGCCAGTCACCTACCAAGAAACTCCAGAACAAGGCACGCTGCTCTGCTCCCAGCCACGCAGAAATACTCCCACGGCCACCCTGGAACTTCAGCAGAAACACAGCCACCTGCCCAAGGTCACAGGCCCTCCCGATGGAATTCAACCTAGCTTCGATGCCAAGGCTCCTGCTCTTCCATTACTGAATGCCTCTCAGGAATGGTCACGTCTTGCCTGCTCAAAGCCCTTCACTCTCTTCTTTGCAGGAAATAAACAAACTCTCAACCCAGGAAACAAGCCCTTCCTGCAGGAAGTCTGCCTCTCCCCCACAGCATGTCTGCCCTTGCCTGGCATTTCTGGGCCAGCAGTGGTAGCAGCTCTGCGATGCTGCCCACGGCCGCCTTCTGCAGTGGGTTCTCTTGGTAGGTGTCCTGTATTGGACTGTGACCTTAGAAGACAGGGGACGAGATGTGCCTCTCTGCACTCCTTAGCTCACAGCAGGAATCACGTTTGTGGACTGAGTTGATGAAGACGACCTTGGTCAAACCAGTGAAAGACACAAGAAAATCCAGGCCTCGTTTTCAACCAGTATTTAAAAAGTTCAAGCTGCAGGTTGTAAGACAGGTCTATCTCCTCTCTAACACCTGTTTTCACTGTATTCAGCTGGGGCATCTGGAGGGAAGGACGGCACAAGGCTGGAGCTCAGGAGGAGGGAAACAGAGCGCGAAGGGATGAGGTGGGAAGGAGAGGCAGGGAAGAGCCAGTGCGTGTCAGACTCGGGGACCCAGGTCCACAGACCAGGAGAGCCGTCCGAGGTGTGCTGGGCCCTAACAAGGGCTCCCTGCTCCCTGATTGAATGTGTCCTAATATTTTAGAAATAAAGAATCCTTTAATCAGTAACTGCATTCTGTAGTTAACTGTGAGTATAAACTGATGAGGTAAAAATGTGAACCAGAAACAGCACGTTCTTATCTGTGTGTGTGGAGGGTTCTGAGGATTGAACCCAGGGCTGCTCTACCACTGAGCTCTAGTCCAGGCTTCATTATAGTTCGAGACAGGTCTTGCTAAGTTGCTGAGGCTGGATTTGAACTCGTGATCCTCCTGCTTCAGCCTCCCAAGCTGCTGGGATGACAGGTGTGCAGCACCTCACCGGCTCCAGCAATGCTCTTAATACTACGCCTGGGATTATGCGGATCTTCTTCAACCCACACAACAGGGAGAATTCCAGCACTGGGGTACTGCTCGGTGGTTCCTTCCCCTTTCTCCTCCTCCGTCCCCCTCTCCTCTCTTTTGTAGCTCTGTGTGTTGAACTCAGGAGCATTCAACCACTACGCTGCATGCCCAGCTCTTTTTATTTTATTTTGAGAAAGGTCTCTCCAAACTGCTGCAGCTGGCCGTGATCCTCCTGTGCAGCTCCTGAGTGGCAGGATGCAGTGTGGCTGGCCTGCTTTATTGTCTGTGGACTGAACAGCCCCCTGTTCAGAGGGTAGCACAGGGAAGGCCTCACAAGTTGGCTGCAGTCTGTCGAGAGAACACATGCATGGAGTCTGCCCTCCTGCGATGCTGATGGCTGCGCCCCTCGCCCCGTCTAGAGCAGCTGAACGACTCCGTCCCTGGTCCTTGAGACCTCTACCTGGAGTCTGCTCTCACCCTGATAGCTACCCGAGGGGAGGCTCCTTGCAGACACCTCTAGGCCATGCCTTCCGCACTCTGTCCCTCCCAGAAGCACACCCACATGGCCCCGTGAGGAAGCTGAATGACTCTGACACCCTGACTCTACCTCACCCTTCCCCGCCTCCCACACAGGCCACTCAGAGGTCCTCCTCTTCTAAGTCCTGGAATCTGCAAACCAGGTTTAGGTCCCAGCGCAGGGCAACAGCTTTCACCTGGGGGACAGAGGTCATGGCTTTGGCAATACCACATGCAAAAATTAAGCCAATTGGCCAGGCAGAATGGTGCTTTCTTCCACTCGCTAGGATTATCTTGTATGCACTTGAAGTTTCCCCAGGAGACCCTGAGCAGCTCGAGGTCTATAGACCAGGGACTGGCAATCCTCTGTCCCTCCAGCAATGGCAGATGGCACATTCTCAACACCAGAAGTTAAGTCCCAAGACCACGGCCTTCGGCCACCCCAACAGCAGCAGGCGGTCACTGCTGCCGGCCTTCCCATTGGAGCTCCAGGGGGAGGTGTGGGCACTTCTTGCTACGTCAGGGCACGGCTGGGGGCACTGCCCGGCGAGATGGACCAGTGCCAGATCTTCCCTCTTCCTCTTCTCTGGAGCCCTAGGGCCATGGAGAGCTCCACCTTGTGATGGCACCCAAGCTCCTCTCACTCCACTGACGCGGGAACACGGGTCACACTCCCAGCACGTGACTTTGCGATGTTCAAACCACGGTGCTTCTCTGGGTGTTCTTCCTTAAGGTGGACGACAGACTCTGTGCCTGCAAAGTGCTCACAACCTGAAATGTGTGGCACTGCTGAAGTAGGGGTGAAGTTCCAAGGACGTGTGACAGGACAACAGCAACACACCAAGGTGCATGGGGGTGGTGCCTCGGGGCCCGCTCCCCAGGTCCTCCTGACCACCTTCCTCCTCCAGCGCCCCATTCTGGGGCATCACCTCCCCTTACAGACCACGAGCCCAGGTCTAATAAGCCCCCACCTGCACCCGCCCAGTTTCTAACTAACCCCCCACCCAGGCCCTGCCTGTTCCGCCCTCAGCTGCCTCTCCAGGCGCCCACGGGTGAGAGGAAAGCCGTGCTGGGACCTTTCCTGAGGACCCTACACGCCTGTCGCACGGTCAGCCTGTGGGCTCAGGAGGAGGCGGGAGGGGAGCAAGGCGAACGCCTAAAACAGCAGAAATGGAAACCGGGCAAGTGGGCTTCAGGCGCACCACAACCAGGGAGCGCAGTCAGCTCAGGCCACCCTGCAGGGCAGAGGACTTCACAACAGGGCTTGACCGCGGAGGGGCGTGGAAGTGGGCGTCAGGAGCAGGACAGACGCTGCTCATGTTCTCCTGGAGTAGAGCCTGCAGCCTACAGCAGACCAGGACCACACTGGAAAAGGACAGTCGAAGAATGGGCTGTCCTCACAGGACAGCAGGACAGAAGCCGGCGGCAGGCCTGGTGGGGCAGAGGGCACTCCTACCGACACTGTGGTGTCAGCCCCCTCGGGCTGGAAGCTCCAGGAGACGGACGTCAACCCGCCGGTCACGTTAGTGGACTTGAACTTGCACGGCAGCTTCCCTTGTGTCCCGTTGGCCACAAAGATTTCTTTGGGTGTGTACACCTCCAAGGCCGACACACCCGCTGTCCCTGGAGAGAAGGAAAGCACAGGAGTGAGGCTTGGTGTGACTACCACGCACACACTCACCAGGTGACACAGAAGACACAAGGAGGTCGGCAGGAACTCACTGCTGTCACACCACACTGCCGAGCAGGGTGGTGCCAGCCCCTATGCCCAGCGACTCAGGAGGCCGGGGCAGGGCGAGCAAGCTCCACACACCCATGGAACCCGTCTCAAAACTAATACTAAAAAAGTAAAACGGGGGCTGGAATGTAGCTCAGTGGCAAAGCGTCTGCCTCGCATTCACAAAACCCTGGGTTTGACCGCCAGTTCCAAAAAAAAAAAAAAATCCCA